TGTTCGCTTCATTTATCGTTTCTTATGATTACCAGCGCCGACAAACGTCTTCCGTTTCGACGGCATCAACTTCTACGCGCACAACCACAACTTCTACTTCCTTTAATGCGGCACACGGGTCTTCGGGTACCCGTTGGAATCCCAATGACATGGGTAGTGTGACTGCTGCCTCAGCTGCTGCGGGTCGTCAAACTCAGGGCCGTCCCGTCAATACACGCATCAATCCCGTGCCTCCTCATCTTGTGCCAATCCCACTATATGGATCAGCCCCACAGACGCCCCTGTCACCCACATTCCGTGAGTTTCCAATCAGAAGGCTACTCATTTTATCCGCCACCAGCACCAGTGATATTACCTGCATGCTCAACATCCCATACCAAGCATTTAGGTGCCCTACAACCTGGGGCGAACTGTCCTTTCATTTTGACGTGAGGAAGCATTCCTTTCCTCAAATACGAGTGTTTTTAAAAATACGTTCAATTTTTTTTAATTTTCAGCTCCCTTGGGGTATCAGTTTCTGATGATCTATCCAACTCCGAGCGCCGCCCCTTTGGTCCCTGGAAACGCTACTAACCCTGATTTTCACCTGCCTGCGAACAATGCGGAAACAACAGCCCCAACTAACCCAGCCAGTCTCTTGCCAAGTTTAACTCCACCGTTATCCCAACCAAAGCCCAACAGTGTTATAACGCCAGGACCTCTATATTCTCCAGCTCTTTCGCCTTCCTTCATACCGTCTACGTTTGCAGCCACTTTGGCGAATGGAGCGATATCACCAATATTCCCAGGTTCACCGCTCTTTCATCTGCCCAATCTGTGTTTCCTCGCGAACTCTAGCAACGATCCTGTTATCCACGTCCGGCATCAAATTTTGCATCAAGTTGAATTTTATTTCAGTGCGGATAATCTTGCCAGGGATGTTTATCTGCGACAACAAATGGATCAAGACGGCTGGGTTGCCGTTAGTGTTATTGCGAAGTTTAACAGAGTCGCAACATTGTCATCCGATCTTAACGAAATACTAGAAGTGAGTTACGTCCTCGAATCTCCGAGGTGCTCATTTGCAGTAAAAAATTAGAAGCTAGTTTTTATTTGTTTCATTACACAGGGCGCTGGAATCTACTGAAGTTTCTTACATCCAAATTACATCGCTAGGGCGATTTTTCTCCCAAGTTTCTCACGGTAGATATGGCAGAGTACTGTGAAAGCCTCATTTCCACGAAACCATTTACTATTTTACGGAAGTTTTAATCGGATATCATTTGAACCACTACGGTTGCGTAATACATTTGTATAACGTTGATAAATAGAATAATGCAGGTTTTCATCGATATCGCCTAGATTTTTTTAACGGTCACAAACTGCATACAAGTAAAATTCCAGTTATTTGATTTACAAAAGTACAAAACTAACCTGAAGGTAGTAGGTAGCTTTGCTGTCGCTTGGTTCAGTACCACGCCGGTTTCCATAATTGAACAACTGGTCCGCGTTTGGTTTACCTCGTTTGGTGTTCATCACACGTGTGCGATAAAGAATACATTCAACTAAACTCTTGCCAACTCAAGAAGATAGTGAGGACTGGTGGACCAAGATAGCCAGAGCGATCTAAATAGTCGCTGCACCAGCGCTCGATCAAATACTGTTTCACCTGATACTCATCACCATAGGCCTTCGCACAACAGTCAGCAAAACCGTTGCGATAAAAGTGGACTGGGTATCCACAACAGAGCAGTGGCTTGATCGCTGGACAGTATTTTAGGTAGCATTTCAGATGACGCATTGGTATTACGGTGGTTCCGGGGGTTGCAGCTGAAGCTCCGTGGACGGTAACATGTGAGTCCCCTGCAGAACTAGAAGCATACTACTGCA